TTTAGCTACTAGCATATTTAGCTACATCTACTAGCAGATTTAGCTACATCTACTAGCAGATTTAGCTACTAACATATTTAGCTACATCTACTAGCATATTTAGCTACTTCATTGACTCTGTTCTTCAGACGGCGAAGTGATGAACAACCTGAGAAGCTCTGAGGTGGATCAGTGTCTCCACAGTAATAAGGTCGGTGGTGTTTTGTTAAAAGAGGTGGGACACGATCTTATTGACCTTAAATCAGACACAGAGTCCAGACAAAGACTTAAAGACCTCCATCACTGATCTTGGGTTCATTACAGAGAATCTGCAGCTACCATGGTTAGCCAATGCTTACAGCTACTTCCTGTCTGGCAGGAAGTTGTTCCCATACACATTAATAGAGTACAGCCCCCAGAATAAGTTGGATATGATAAAACTTTTGCTTTATTTTTATTCTTTTTTTGGACCAGAAAGTCTCTAAAAGTAGGGGGTACAAAAATAAGAACAACTGGAGGAACATTTTACAGCTAACGAGGTTAACTGGTTAGCAAGATGACGAGTTTCAAAAGAACATTTTAGATGTAAAGATGGGCACAGGTTCACCACTCTGTGATAAACTACTTCTGTCTGTTCCTCAACAGAAACTTACAAGACTTTACAAGTTGCATCTTTGTATTCTGTTTTAATTTGCATTTTACTCTTTTTAGTAATTCATGTGTAACAGTTTGTGACTTTAAAGACCCTAAAGAGAATATTTAAAATTTTTAGCTAAAAGGGGATTATTAGTTTATTTTAATGAAGTAACAGAACAAACTGGGGAAAAAAGATTTGTTTGAAAAATACCTTAACATGTGAGTATCTGGACCCTGCTGGTTCCCCCTCAGACTTCAGAGCAGGACTGGGATCTGACCCTGTTTCTGTGGTTGAGGTCCGATCATGGACCGTCTGACGTTAATAAAGATGAAGCACAGAGAGGAAATGAAAACCCTCCCTGCTCTAATGAGATCAGATCCATCATGATCTGCTCCTTTAACCTTCACACAAACACACACACAGGCGCGCACACACACACACACACACCAGATTCTATCTCTTCATGTTTTCAGTTCCGCTCTGAAAGGAAAACCTTCAAAACTATAATCGAAAGATGTGACAGAACCTCCAAATCCGAGGCCATGGTCTTGAGCCGGAAAAGGGTATAGTGCCCTCTCTGGGTCAGGGAGGAGGTCCTACCCCAAGTGGAGGAGTTCAAGTATCTCTGGGTTTTGTCCACAAGTGAGGAAAGAATGGAGCCTGAAATTGACAGACGAACTGGTACTGCGTCTGCAGTATTGTGGACTCTGTGCTGGTCCGTTGTGGTGAAGAGGGAACTGAGCTGTAAGGCAAAGCTCTACCGGTCGGTCTACGTTCCTCCCCTCACCTCTGGTCATGAACTCTGGATAGTGACTGAAAGAATGAGATCGTGGATCCAGGAGGTTGAAATGAGTTTCCTCTGCAGGGTAGCTGGACTCTTCCTTAGAGACATGCTGAGAAGTTCAGTTGACTCTGAGTAGAACTGTTGCTCCTCCACATCGAAAGGAACCAGTTGAGGTGGTTCAGACATTTGGTATGGCGAACACTTGGACACCTCTTTGGGGGAGGTGTTCTGGACATGTCCAACTGGGAGGAGACCCCAGGGAAAGCACAGGACATGCTGAAGGGACAAATTACTTATTATCTGGTTGCATGCTTGCTTTATGATGTGTACTGTATATGTACAATTATTATTATGTGAATTTTAATTATTTTAATCATTTTTTATTTTCTGACTGTATGATTGTTTTGTTGTGTGTACAGCCCTTTGGTCCTGTGGGTGTTTAAAGTGCTCTATGAATAAAGCTGGTATGGTATGGTATGGTATGGTATGGTGATATAGAAATTATTATTTTAATGCTTTTATGTCAATCTAGACCTA